AACGGGCGTTTAAACCCGGAAGTGTTGGAGCTTTACTTTTTTTTTTTGTCATTAAATTACGTTAAACAGTAGAAATGCAACTTTAAAACAAAGAAGAAAGAAAGATAAAGGAGACAAATTAAAACAAAATAAAATCAGACAATGGAGTTGTTCAGTGCTCATGAGGTTCAGGGTTTTCCATGAGGACCAGGTCCTTCAGCATCTCAGAGATCCAGAGCAGGTTCTCTTCTCATGGGTCTCAGATGAGAAGAGGAGGCTCAGTTCTCTGTGAGAGGAACAAAGTTTGTTCTGGCTTTAACAAATCTGTCCTTGTGAATAAAAAACTTTCCTAGAATGAAAACGGTGTTAATCATCAGATCATGTGCAGAGTTTTTATGATAAAACCCTGTAATTAATTTAGACGAGCAGTGACGTAAATCATCCCAAAAGGCATCAGTAGATATACAATCATAAAACGTGTCGTGAGTTCGTGACAAAATGAACAGTTCAAAGCGTTTACATATAAAATCAGCAGAGAGGTATATTCTGTTAATAATTCTGAAATGAATCTTTTGCTTCAGGAGCGACAGGGAATTAATAAAATGTTGATCTTAATTGTTCAGCATCTTTTCTGGAGAATGAATTTATAATTGTGATTGGGAAGAGGAGCAGGGATACAGCTCTCTGTTCAGTATGAAACAAACAGTTGTTCAGTTTGGACTCCTAAAGATTTAGATTATTCACTAAAAGTGGGGGAACATTTGAATATAAATTACATGTCATGATTATCATTATAGCTTGAGGTGTTGCATTAGTCACTTTCTTATGTTGTTCTTTATCAGTCAAGTTAAACTTGGAGCTAAAATTCTCAAATGTTATAATTGAACAACCGTACGCCTTTATCACCCGTTCTGTAGACGTATAGATTTAGGGTTATGTAATATATATGTGCAGTTCCACAGTGGGGTGCTGTGGGACTGAAGTTGTTTTAAATCGTTTTCCAGTTCAGTAAAACCTGTTGATGGAATGATGAGAGTTTATGGAGCTTTTTTGGGTCATGGTCACATTTGAGGAGAAATTCAATGCCGCCTCATTTCTTGAAGATTTCATGAGGAATATAAAACCAGAGCTTCTGTTGGTTTTAACATCAACCAATTTATTTTAATTGTGCCGTCAATACATTCAAAGCCTCTTGCCTTAACACCTCCATCTTTGTATTCTTGTGTCAAAGAGCCTTTTTTAATATAACGTGTTTTCCTTTTCCAAGTGTAGTTGAAATTTGCTTGATTTAGATTTCAACATCTGTATGAGAGTAAGAGGAGTGCTTCAACATCTGTATGAGAGTAAGAAGAGAGCTTCAACATCTGTACGAGAGTAAGAAGAGAGCTTCAACATCTGTACGAGAGTAAGAAGAGAGCTTCAACATCTGTACGAGAGTAAGAGGAGTGCTTCAACATCTATATGAGAGTAAGAAGAGGAGTGCTTCAACATCTGTATGAGAGTAAAAAGAGGAGTGCTTCAACATCTGTATGAGAGTAATAAGAGAGCTTCAACATCTGTATGAGAGTAAGAAGAGGAGAGCTTCAACATCTGTACGGGAGTAAAAAGAGAAGAGCTTCAACAACTGTAAGAGAGTAAGAAGAGGAGAGCTTCAACATCTGTAAGAGAGTAAGAAGAGGAGTGCTTCAACATCTGTACGAGAGTAAGAAGAGGAGAGCTTCAACATCTGTACGAGAGTAAGAAGAGGAGAGCTTCAACATCTGTACGAGAGTAAGAAGAGAGCTTCAGCATCTGTACGAGAGTA